GGAATTGGACACCGTCACTTCCTCCATGTGCTGTTTGCTAGGAGTGGGTCATTAAGTCCAGCCCCTACTTGAGGGGCAGGAATTGCAGCAAAATGGGGTATCAGCTGATAGGGTGACCGTGAGATGTCGGGGTTCCTGGTGCTGAGAAGGGGGATGGATTTTCTGCCCAAGGCAGACATCAGACATCAGTGTTTTGGCAGAGTCCTAGCGAGCTAGAGCTCTATTATCTGCCTCAGGCTGGGGTGGGTATGCTTCACTCCAGCCACTCCATTAGTACAGGGACTTGTCCTTCCCCCCATCAGGTAGCAGTGGATTGCTGCTGGCACCCAGCCAGGTGTGGGCTGGGCCATCTCAAGACCTTGAGAGCCAGATGTTGTTTGCTGCTGATGCCATGGTAACCTGCTCAGGTGCCCTGAGCAGTCTTCCTGGCTCCTAAGTGGGAACTGCCTGGCCTTGGCATCAAGGCCTGGATTTGCTTCTGTCTACATCCGAAGCTGGCCAGTTCAGGGTGTGCTGGATTTCTTAGCATTATCTTTTGGTGATGTCGTTTCTGAATCCAGAATATGTCTGATGTGAATGAGTATGGGGACAACAGGATAGAGTATTTGAAATTGGACCATCTTGGAAAATCTGGGACATCCCCCATCTTGTGACTGATGGGCCAGTCCCGATGAGGCTGGGACTGCCTGGGCTGCAGGCTCTGGTGGGGCTGGCTAAGAGACCCAAGTGAAACTCCCCCCAGGGGTCATGTTGAGGCTTCTCTAGAAGGTCCTGACTTCCGGCCTCCTTATTTTGGGCTGAATGAGGACCTGGCCAGTGCTTGGCTGCTTAACGTGGCATTTTGGAAACATTGCCCGGTAACCTGGCTTTATGGGAATCCTCCTGGTTGATTTTCTGGAGGGTCTCTCACTTTGCCCAGTACTAGGGTATCACGTCACGTGGTCTCTTGATTCTTGGACCCCAGCTGAAGGCAGTCTGCTGACATTTCTTTTTCTTCCTGTTTTATTGAGATATAATTGACATCCATCACTGTATTAGTTTAAGGTGTAGAGCGTGATGGTTTGACTTACATATATTGTGAAATGATTACTGCGGTAAATTTAGTTAACATCCATCATGTCATACAGACGTGCTGAAGTCTTAACCTGAGCCCCTGGTGAGCTAAGCCCCTAGGAGGTGACAAATTTCTTCTTGCCCTTCTCCCCACCCCTTACACACACACACACACACACACACACACACACGCACGCACACACACACACGCATGTGCATGCACACACACGCACACACACACACACACACACCCCAGACCATACAAAACTAGAGAAACTTTTTCCCTGATTATTTTTCCTTTTCCAGACAGGGACATTGATATATTTGAATCATGGGCTGACAGTAATTAAAAAGCACATAACGTCATTTTAAAATGTAGTTGTTTTAGTTAATTGATTTTGCCGCCAGACCCAGAGGGAGAAAAAAAAGAACAGGGGAGAGAAAGCCTTAGAAGGGGAGAGAGGCGTCTGCGAGGGACTGGAGGCGGCTGAGGGCCCCGCTTGAATCTAATTGCTACAAATGCTGCAGGTTGTTTCTGCTAATGCTTTTCTGCTGAAGGTCTGGGGGATGAGGCCTGATTGGAGGGGGGTGACGTTTGTTTCAGCTGCACGAGGGGTAAAATTCTGCTTTCGGGACAGGGTCTATTTTTCCTTACTCTCTATCAGCATAAAGTACTTCCAGCGAACACTTTGAATCAAGGTTCCATTTACAGATACTTTATTCATATTTAATTACAGCCTGTAGCCCCAATCGTTAATTACGGTTTTTTATAAGCCGGCTAGGAACATTCACTAGCAATCAATAACTGTGTGTGTGTGTTGTGTGTGAGTGTGTGTAAGCACAGGAGGGTGTGGGTGTCTGACGTGCTTACTGATAAAGGGGAAGAGGATGGCTGCAGGGGCACCCCGGAGGTGGTGGCAGTGCATGGATGGGGTGGGGTGGGCGGGGTATCTGCCCAACAGGTTCCCTGGGCCGAGTGGGTAGTGCATCCTCACTTGCCATGCCTCTTTGCTTCCACTGGTCAAATTGAGGATTTGGGCAAGTCCTCACAGCTGGGCCTCGTGCAGGGTGCTGAATGGGCACCTGGGCTTTGGTGGTATCTTGGGACCCGCCCGACCGCTGGTGGGAGCAGGGAACTGTGGGAGGCCCCCCTCCGCATTCCCTGGGGATATGGGGGACCAGTCTTCCTCTTACCCTGAAGATTGGGATATGCTTGCCTTGACGCGTTCCTCCCCCCGCCTCCCCACCCCCTGCAGCGCTCCTGGCAGCTGTTCCTGCCACACAGCCCTAGTGATGCCACGTCACTCTTCAGTTGCAGTGACTCTGCAGCGTCCCTGCAATGACTCTGATTTGAAGACTGGTTGTCCTTCTCAGAGAACGAGCAAGTGTTCCCAGGGAGCCAGGCGGAGGCTTGGGGTGGGAGTGGGGTCAGATGACCCCCAGGTCCCCTTGCCCATCCTAGCTGCTGGAGGTGAGGGTCTGAGTTCACAGCTTTTCTCTAGAAAACATTCTCCTTGGTGCTCCTTCAGGAATTACCAGAGGCTTTCCAAGGAAGTGGTGTTGATCTCATGTTACGGACAGGAATGTTGCTGAAGTTCCATCTCCCTTCGGTTCCTGGATCCCAGTCCCAGCAAGAGGGTGGGAAGGAAATGGAACTCTCATGTACTGGCCTCTTGGGGGTACCGGGCACCATGCCCAGGTTTCTTTCATCTATCCCTGCTGGGGCCTGAGAACACACTGTGTCAGTCAGAGCCCCTTCAGTTGTGTGTGACAGAAAACAACTCAGACTACCTTCAGCAAAAGAAAGATATTATAGGGTTGGGCATCCAGGCACGGCTAGACCCAGGGGCCAGCCATTGTGACCCGGGTTCACCCTCTCTCCTGACTCTGCTTTCCTCTTTGTTGCTACTGTGTGACCCCTGGTAGCCCCAGGCTTCAAGTTCAATTTTCAGCTTCAAGTTGAGCAGAAAGAAGGAGAAGCACTTCTACAGTTCAAGCAAAAGTATAACAATTGAGTCTGATTGGACCACTTGGGTCAATCTCTGATGTAATCAGTGTGGCCTGAGGTACCCGGGGTTCTGAATGATCAGGCCAGGGTCTCACCCCCACTCTGGAGTAACAGGTGGAGTCCACCTAGGTAAATCGCACTCGTGACATGTGCTTTTATGTGTGAGGCCTTTGGAATAGTAGCAGTGTGGGAGTAGGATGGTCCAGCCATTTCAAAAGGAGGAAAGAGTTGATACAATCCCTCTCCGATAGAAAGAATAGTGGATTCAGTCCTTCAACAATATTTGTTTAGCACTGACCAGTTCCAGTCCTGTTCTAACTGTAGGGAAGTCAGCAGCAAACAAAACAGAAAAAAATTGCTGCCTATTTAGAGCTGATGTTCTAACGCGCTATAGGGCTGACGGCCCTTTCGTTCTTAGTCTAAGCCCGGGTCCAGGATAAAGCGTTCTTGTGTGGAGAGACCCAGGGTGATTCAGGGGGATGATGTGGGAAGAATCTGGCCCTTAGGGAGCCCAGAACTCACGAGGGAGGTAAAAAGGCAAGTTGGGGAAGGGGGCAATAGGAGGGGTACAAATAAATACCCAATAAGGAAGAAGGGGGATGGGAAGCCAATCTGTACCCATCTCCCGTGACAGAAAAGGGTAGGCCCCTCCCGTGTTGCCTGGACCTTTGGCCCCCGCAGGATGTTGATAAATGGCATGGAGTTAGTGAAAGCTACCAAAATGATGACAGGACTGGAGGGAGTGATTTATGAGATGAGATTAGCAAAGTGATGGTGCAGCCTAGCAAACAAAGGGATGGGGTGGTGGCCGTGGGTCGTGTGACCTCTGAAGTCCAAGGAGAGGAGAGGGGCTGAGGGGTAGGATGGAGTGGCTGCTGCCGAAGGGGGACAAAGAGAGGCAGCAGGGGCACGGACTGAGTGGACCTCAGCATGAGAGCCTGGGTGGTGTGAGAAGGAGCGGAGGCATGTGGCATACATATGCACATTTGCGTGCGTGCGTGCGTGTGTGTGTGTGTGTGTGTGTGTGTGTGTGAATGTCTGGCCTTTCCAGAATTGTGAGGCTATACAGGGAATTCAAGAAATGGAGGGGATGAGAATTTCAGACCTGGACAATTTTGCAAAAGGCTTTTGGGGCCCTTCTTCCCATCTGGTAGAATATTCATATCTGGACCATCTATCTGACCACTCAAGTCAGACAGACCTTTCCTTCAGGAGAATTGGAATGGCATTTCTAAGAGGGAAGGAGGGAAGGAAGAAGGGAAGAGAAGATGGAAGAGTAAGGGGTATATGTTCCATTTCATAGAGTAAGTGAGGCGCAGAAGGGGCAGGGATCTGCCCAAGGTACTTGGGGTGGCATCACACCTGAAGACCAAAAGCAGGGCTCTGGTGTGCAGAGATCTCTGCCAGGTGGCTGGGTCAGGAGTGGACTTGGGGACCCATGTTGAGGCTCAGGCAGCAACAAGTGGTAGCTGTTGGGTTTGGAGCCTCTAGCCTGGGCTTCCTTGAGCTTTCCGGATTGGCGGGGTTGGAACATCTTCCATCTGATCCCCGGGCTTGGGCTGCCCTGGGCCCAGGTTCTGTTAACTTTTGATCATATCCATATGTGAGAGCCTCGGAGACACAATGGTGAGTAATTAAATAGGTGGATGATGCACGGTTCTGAACACTCGAGATGGCACTTTTTTGGCTTTAAATGGAGGTGCTCAGGGTACCCCTGCACAGGTATGAGACCCACCCTCCACGTGTGTTTTCTGTCTCACTCCCTGCCCTGGTGGCTGGTGTGAATTTCCATGGCACTAAAGGGCCCAGGTAAAGCAATTGATAGAGGAGAAAATCTGTCTTGGGGGCACTGGGCAGTGCTGGCCCTGGCCCATCCTCCTGGCCCCTCTCACTGAATTGAGTCATCTTAATTGCTCTGTCCTCTCTCCACTCTTGACAGATTCATGATTTGTTCATGAGCTTTGATGACACCCCTCTGGGAGCTGCCTCCCTGGCCCAGGTCCACAAGGCGGTGCTGCATGATGGGCGGACGGTGGCCGTGAAGGTCCAGCACCCAAAGGTGCAGGCTCAGAGCTCAAAGGACATTCTTCTGATGGAGGTGAGAGCCTTCCACCTTCCCCTTCCTTCATACTCGTTCTACATTTCCCTGGGATCCAGGCAGTCCCAGTGAAACTGGTTCAAGGCCTATAGTTTGGAGTGTGTGTGGCCCTTTGAGCAGCAGAGTGAAAGAGGAGAGCTTGAGACCACAAAGGAGGTGTCATGACAGCACTGTGACCAGGGGACCCATGGCAGGGTTGCTTGATTTTTGATTCATTCCTGGGAACTGTCTGTGGGTGGTCTCAGAACACGGTGGGCAGCTGCTGGGGCCAAGGAGACCTCAGGGGGATATTGTAGAAATGAGACGACCCACAGGTGACTTCCTTGGGGGTAGAAAAAGTTACTTCCTAATTTGTTAAATTATAACAAAAGGGAGCATGTGGTCAGTCAAGGGATATGGAAATGACAGGCAGATCACATAGAAATATTTATGCAGATTGCACATTTGCTTCCCTGATACTTTGCTTTGAATGAACAAAACGTGTATGCCCTAAAATGGCCCTGGGACAGCTGTAGTGGGGACTGTGCCTCTGGACTTTTCTAGCTCCATGCCTGGAGCAAGGAAAAAGGGTGAGCGATCAGGGTTTGGGCGGTAGCCAGCACCCCCAATGGAGGTCAGCAGTCTGCCTACCCTGCCAGATTGTCCCTCTCCTTCTTTTTCTCTTTCCCTTTCCTTGGTTCCCTTTCCTCACTTTGGACACTTAGTTTATTCTTCCAGCTCACTTTGACTAAACTTAACACGTATGTAGGACACAAGAGTGAGTGACCCGCATCTTCATCTTCGGGGAGCTCCCCGTTTAGTGGCGCAGACAGGCTAGTACGCAAAACAGCCCTTGACTGTGAGCTCCGTCAAAGGGGTGCTTGCAGAGTGCCGTGGAGCCCTGTGCCTGTAATGTTGGGGGCATCAGGGGGGCTTCACCAAGGCACCCACGAGACAGCCGGGCAGCGGAAGGATGACCCAGCCTGTGCGAAGGCCCTGAGTCTTAGGGGAGCAGGGTGTGCTTGGAGAGCTTCAGCTGGTTCAGATGGAACGAGCTGGGCGTGGGTGCAGATGAGGCTGGGAAGGTAGGCAGGACAGAACATGAAGGGCCTCGTATTCCAGGCTCAGGCGCAGAATGGTATACATAGTAAGTACGTATTTACTGTGGAACCGAGCAGATCTGATTTTCTTCTGTAGTCAGTGGGGAACCATTTAAGAATTTTAATCAGGGGAATGTCGTGATCAGATGTGCCTTAGAAATAAAAGTCTGTTGACAGTCTGGAGGATGTATTGGAAGGCAGAAAGACTGTAGCCAGGGAGACTAATTGAGGGGCTGCAGCCTTGGTCTGAGAGAGAAAAGACGATGCGAACCCAGGCAGTGTAATGGGGGTGGAGGAGAGGCATGGATTCACAGGGTGGAATCATCAGGACTTTGTGACCAGCTTTACATGGGATGGGGGGAAATACTGGTATGAATGAAAATGAAAACAAATTGTAAGTTTCTGGCTTACATGATTAAATTTAGGTGCCTTTAACGATGTGTATCAGTCGGGATTCAGTTGGGGGAAAAAAGAACTTGCTCTAGGTATTTCAGAGGGAATTTAAAACAGAACATGGAGTTCACAGGGGATGGAATTGCTGAGAAGCCAAGTGGAATGGTGAGATAGTCACCAGTAGCAGGAAGCCACTGCCACCCTCCAGGTGGAGGGACAAGGAGAAGAGGTGGTTCCCTGGAGCCCAGGTGCTGGGGCCACCTGAGGGGAGTGGATCACAGACCTCGGGCCTGTCACCTGGGGTTGGAGCCACAGATGCTGTTTGAGGCAGTGGGTGTTTCACCTCCTCCTGTTCCCCCCGCCCACTCCCCTGTATTCCACCAAACCTAGCTGGAAGCCGGTTGGCAAGGGAGCCTGGGGAATGTAGTTTCTTATGAGATTAAGGGGGTGGGATGGATGTCAGAGCAAGTGGAGTGGGTGACGGAGCAACTATGTTCTGTAAGACATTGCCGTCAGCAGTTTTAGATCAGGATCTCTGTCGGTCTGCACTTCAGGCTGGAAATACAGATTCTGGATTTATCAGCAAGGAGACTCATGGGAGCTGAATCTGGGGCAGTAGCTGAGATGACTTAGAAAAGCTATATAGAGTAAAAATAAAAGGAGGGGGCAAAGAAAGAGCTGTGAGGAGCATCATGCCCAGGAGGATGAGTTCCGGAGGGAACTAAGAAGGCATGGTCAGAGGGGTTAGAGGAGAGCCAGGACTGAGCAGCTACATCCAATGAGAACAAGGTAGAGAAGAGAGCACTGTCAGTTATCTAGCATCCCAACTGATACAACCGCTAGTCTGCGCGATGAGCCACCTGAAAACGCAGTGGCTTAGAACATCAGTCGTGTATTTTGCTCGTGACTCTGCAACCTGGGCAGGGCGTGGCAGAGAGACTCGTCTCTGTTTCATGTGGCACCAGCTGGGGCGGCTTAACTGCAACAGGAGGACCCACTCCCACGGCTGGCCAGTTGGTTCTGGCTGTTGGCTGGGAGCTCAGCCGGGGCTGTGGGTCAGGGCCTTAGACCCTCACCAAGGCCTCTCCAAGGCTGGTTGGGCTTCCTCACAGCATGGTGGCTGGGTTCTAAGAGGCAGTGTCCCAAGAGAATAAGGCTGAAAGCACATCATAGTTTTATGACCTAGCCGTGGCAGTCACGCAGGTTACTTCTTCCTTACTTTATTGGTAAGAGCAAGAGTCACAGAGTCCCCCTTGGTTTAAGAGGCAGGGAAATAGACTCTACCTCCTGATGGGCGAGTGGCACGGTTCCAGAAGAGCATTAGAGCGGGAGGTACTGTTGCAGCCATTTTGGAAAATATAATCTGTCAGAATTACTGCATGTTGTCAAATGCAACATAAATTTGTGAAGCTCTGGAAAGAGTATTTTGGATTTGGCGGCTTAGAGTTCTTGGGAAGAGCAGGGAGAGTGGGGTGAGTGGGGTGGAAGAGAATTGAGGCCTCAAGGAGCAGAGACGGTTAATGTAGACTACTCTTTTCATGTTTAGCCATGGATGGTGGGGGAGGGTGAGCATAGTGGTTAGAGCAGAGCACAGGCTTAGCGGCGGGGACCTGGGGCAGGCTGTAGCTGATGGGGAAGGGGCAGCGGAGCCGGGGACTTGGAGATTTAGGAGAGGAAGTAACTGATAGATCTGGTTTAGGAGGAGCCTGGAGGGATTGGGCTCCAAGGACGCGGGTGGAAACATTAGGCTTTGGCAGCCTTTGTTTGAGGCTAGAGGAAGGTAGTAAGGCTGGGTACAGATGAGTGAGTGGGGCAGAGGGGGAAGGTGGGGAAAGTGGACAGCTGAGCCATACCAGCCTGATAGCCTCTATTTTTTCTCTGAAGTAGGAGGTAAGACCATCTGCTGAGAAAGAGGGGGTAGGAGGTGGCATGGAGGCTTGAGCGGGGAAATGAAGGTTTGGAATATTGCTGGGTGCAGTGGAAAAGGGAGCTGACCGGGACTCGGGAGCGGGGTTGCCGAGTGGCATTGGGCAGCCACCTGGAAACCTTAGTTTTCTGAAGCATCAGTCAGTAGCTATGGAACAGCCATAGATGCAAGTTCACTGTGAGTCTCAGAGGATCCCTGGGTGTCCTGGGACCCAGCAGCCATGCCTGCATTAGCTGGGAACCTGTCTCTGCCCGGTGGTGCCAGCAGACCCACTGGGGCTGGGAGGACAGCTGACATCTTTTCTTTGCTGAGAGCCTCACTGCTCCCTAAGTAATGGTGGCCGTAAGGTCAATATCAATAATAGTAGAAATAAAAATTTGGCGTCTTCCGGCCTGGGACAAGCATCCGATGCTTTTCTTGGAAGTTACCAGCCCTGTGACTCTGTGCAGAGCACAGAGTGGCTCCTTCGCGGTGGCTGGGGCTGGGATCGCGAGGCAGATCAGAGACCTGCGCTCACAGCCTTCAGGAGAGAAGCTGGAAATGAGGCCTGAGGTCACCACCTCCACAGACCGTCAGCATTAGCAGCAGCACAGAGTGGTACTGCCTTGTCGCTGGGCTTGGCCTCTGGTGGAAAAAAGTCCTATCTGGTCACCCTTTCTGCTTTACAACTAAGAGGTGCCAACTGGAAAGCTCATTTTGTTTTATATTTGAAATGAGTATTACTATTTTTTTCTAAGTCCAGACCTAAATGGTGCCTTGATTTTAGGAATGACACATGCTCCAGTGTGCTTGGTAGGAAAAAAATGATTTCTAGGAGGCATTAGGGCTATCGTACCCACCAGAAACTTAGAGACAGAGGGGAGGCAAAGCTACTTTCCTGAAGAGCCTTCTGGTGTTTCTTTTCATGCCAATTCCAGGTATTGTGTGTCCTCATGCTTCTCTCCCACTGCCCACTATTGTCTCTCTCTCATCTCCAACCCTGTGATTGATCACAGCCTGGTCTTGAGAGGAAGAAAACCCGATTAAAGTAGTTCATACTAAGGAGAGAGTGGCTAATAGGCTTAACCTCTGGATATTTGCAGTTTAAGAAGTGGGCTTGTAAATCCAAACACATATCTGCTGTAAGGATAGAGGTTTGCAGAAATGAGACTTTTGAGAATAAGGAGGTGGGGGCTACTAGCTATATCAGTTAGTATGCTTTTAACTGCGTGTATCAGGACATCCAACTAAAAGTGGTATAAATAATAGTAACCTATATTATCTTACATTACAAGACATCTGGAAGTAGGGTCAGCTGTTTCACGGTTGACTAATGCATCACTTCTTTGTGGTTTTTAAGGACCCAGGTTCTTTATGTCTTCCACTCTGCCAGCTCAGCTTCCTGGCTTGTCCTTCTAAGGTAGTGCCCCTCATAGCTGCAAAACAGCTGCGGGGTTCCTGCTATTACAAGTAGATGACATCCAGATGCCAGAGAGGGCCTGTTTCTTCCCTCATATTAAAAAGTAGCCCCTTAATAGAATTCATTTCAGTTTTCATTGGCCAGAAGCAGGCCCACATCCCCAAGACTGAATCAGTCTTGGCAAGAGGATTGGGACCACTTT